ATAAATAAATAAATAACCCACAGGCAAAAATAGGTGAATCAGAATAACACTCACCCAGTTTCATAAAGCAGTCATACTTAGTAGTATTGATAGGGGAAAGAAATAAGAACTCTGAAGCTCTAGCCTCTGGCAGTAGTTTGTTGTATTACCATAACTTTGTTGATACAATCTCTCAGCTGTTTTCCAGAGCCAAAGCTAAGGTGACCATACCTCCCAATATGGCTAGGACACTTCCAGGGTACACCTACTGTCCTAGTACTACTATCAATACTGCTCAATATTGGGCTCAAAAGTAATCCAGTTTGAATGATAAATTACATGGCTACTATTGCCAGAACGTATTGAATTTCAGAGATAGTGCACTCACCCAAAGAAAAAGCTAAGTTTTTACCTTTTCATAGCAAGTTGCTCTTTAAGGTTCTTGATTTCATTATCTTTAGCATGGATTTGACGTTGTAATCTAAGCAAATAAGAAAGTCACAAAATGTCAGAAACTGTCTCTCATTAACACAGTCAGAACAGCTCTACCTGTAGCTGAGGAGGGGACCAGGGATGTCCATTTTGCATCACAAATCTTCAGCCTGAAAACAATAACTCGACTCTTAAACCTGGTCCTTTCAACATTTATCTTTCTTGTTTCTGATGTCTGATTTACTGACTTTCCTAAAAAAAGGGAATTGAGTTCTAACTCAAGTAAATTAGAAAGAGAGAGACAAGTATTTACCTTATATCCGCAGCTTAATAATTTGGAAAAATGTCTTAAGCATTTTAGTTTGCCACTAGGAAACAGAGAAGGTATCTTCTGATTTTCTAAGCCTGTGGGATTGAGAACCTTTAAGTTCTTTCATGAGATATATATCAAATCATGCAAATTATTAAAGACTTAAGGTCTGAAGCAAATCAGACCTTAAATATAGAAGTAATGAGGCTGTGTGCAAATAAAATTTTGATTAAAACTATAAATTATAACTTGGGAGTCACTCACATGACCTAATTGTGGAAAAGATGGGTAAAAATTTTATATAAATCAGAAAGCATAACCTGTGATCAACTTAAAAATTAGTATGCAAGAAACTATTAAGAGAAATGCAAAGTAATACTTTTTGTTTGACATATATTCAGATACCATTTTTGATGTTCTTCCCTCATGCTGCTGTGTTTCTTTTTACAACCAAGCTTTTATATAAACCCATTAATTAGCTTCAATATGAAGAGATTTATAGCAAAAGTACATTTCTCTTTAAGTCTCTTGATATGTCTCTTGATAAGTCTCTTGGGATAAACCAGAGTTTGGGTTAATACAAATTATTGGAATGATAAAGCTTTGAAACCATGACTTCAATGTTGGCTGGATTACTTACTACTAGATTTCAGAGACTAACCACTCACCTTTATTTTAAGCCTCTTAGAAGCTGTAAAGACTTATAATCAATGTTCTATTGGTCTGAGAATGCAGTGAAAAGAAACCAGGTCTCTTTCTGTACAAAAGAGGTCATGTTTTCAAGTGAAGAATAAGAAATATAAGCTTTGTTATTGTAACATACAGGACTATGCTGACAGAGTTGAAAGTAGTAACATTTCTAAAATTGACATCTTTTTTTTCCTTTGTATACTTCCCTTCATATTTTATATTTTAATATAATATTTTTATATTATTTTATATAATATTTTTATATATTTTTATACTTCATATATTTTAACCGGCTCTAGTTTAGAGTAGTCAGTAAGAGTTGACGAAACTAGTGGGAAATTCAGAAGACCTGGATTCTTAAATAATAGAAGATAAGGTAGGCATAGTTCTTATTATCCAGCTCAGATATGAACAAGCTATATATGTTCAGATAGTCCTAACTTTTCAGTCCTATTTTTCTCATGTATAACATGATACAGTGGGATGATTAGATTTTCTTTTTTAAAAAATCTAAAGTTCTCAAGCTAACTCTTGCTGGCTATCAAGTTTATTATATAGATTTTATTGACAGTATCTTGATGTTTACCAAGTGCTTATTGTAGTTTACGCAAAATAGGTCACTTTTATTTAAATTCTCTTTAACACTTCAATTATCATCAACAAATATTTGCCAAACATTTACTGCAGCCGTGGCATTGAATTAAGCTGAAGAAAAAAACACTTTTTCTTTTGCTACCTAAAAAGCTCCATATTTTAAGATGAAACCAACAGTTATAATCAAACAATATTTATATTTTTATCACAAACTCTTGGAAATATTCAGGTGAATTAAACAAAGAAAAGGGTCAAAAGCTTACATAAGAAGCTTATATATGAGTTCTCATGTTTTCCATTCTGCCTGGATGCCCTGTCTTTTCTCCCATCTCATCCCACCTAGCCTACAATGCCTAGGTTCAGTATTATGTCTTTAATAAAGTTCTTCCTTCCCTGAAGGAAGTTCTTCCTTATCACAACAGTCAAAAGTATTCTCTCTACCCTAAAAAAAATCCCTATTAAGTATAGCCTTGACAGTTATTTATATGCACTTTTTAAAATAAACTTTTCATTTTGAGATCATTGTAGATTTGCATACAGGTGTAAGAAATAATACAGAAAGATCCCATGTACCCTTTCCCAAATTTCTCCCAGTGGTATAACATCTTGCAAAACTACGGTACAATATCATAACCGGAATGTTGACAGTGATACAGGCAAGATGCTGAACAGTTCTATCACCATGAGGATCCCTCATTTTGCCCTTTTATGGCCACAGAAACTTCCCCTCACTCCCATTCCCTTCTTACAACCTTGGAACCACCAATCTGTTTTCCATTTTTATAATTTTGTTGTTTCAAGAATGTTATAGAAATGGAAATGTAAAGCATATAAGCTTTTGGGATTGGCTTTTTTCACTCAACGTAATTCTCTGGTGTCTGCAGGGTTTATAGTGATTTCACTATTTTTTTTACCTCAGATGGTGGTAATTTCTGTCTTTTCTCTTATGTTGTCAGTTTTGTTAGAAGTTTGTCAATTTTATTGATCTTTAAAAAAAAAAAACACAGCTTTTTATTTCATGGATTTTCTATTGTTTTTCTGTTTCCAACTCCATTATTTCAAATCTTTAGGTCTATTTAGGTTCCTTTTCTGGGATCTTGACATGAGTGCTTAGATTATCCATTTGACCTTTTTCCCGTTTTTATTGTGTGTATTTAGTTTTATAATCTTCTCAGCACTGCTTCAGCTGTGTACCACGAATTTGGATAAATTATATTTTCACATTAATTCAGTTCAATGTATTTTTGTTTCCCTTGAGATCTCTTCTTTGTTCCATGGATTATTTAGACATGGATTGTGTAGTTTCCAAGGGTTTGGGGGTTTCTTTTTATCTTTTTGTTATTGATGTCGTTTGATTCCATTGGGACCTGAGAACATGCTTTGTATGATTTCAACCTTTTTAAATTTGTTGAGGTTTGTTTTATGGCCCAGGATATGGTCTATCTTATTATATGTTCTGTGGGCACTTGAAAGCTTGTGTACTCTGTGGTCATCTGGTAGAGTGTTCTATAAATATTGATTAGATCCTGTTGGTTGACAGTCTTCTACATTCTTGCTTATGTCGTTTAGTAGTTCTATAAATTGGGATTGGGGTTTGAAGTTATCAATTATAATGGTAAATTTTTCTATTTCTCCTTTCAGTTCTATCAGGTCTGGTTTCTGTGTTTTCATGTTCTGTTGCTTGGTACATAATACATTTAGGTTCTTATTTCTTCCCAGTGGATTGATCCTTTTATTAATATCATTATGTAATGTTCCTCTTAGTGTCCAGTAGTTTTCTTTCTAAGTCCTTTTTATCTTAATATAGCCACTCCTACTTTTTTTGATGTTTGCATGGTATATCTTTTACAATGCTTTTACTTTTGAGCTACCTACATTGTTGAATTTGAAGTGAGTTTCTCGTAAACAGCATAGTTTTGGATCACATTTTGCTTGTTTTTTAAATCTACTCTGCCAGTCTTTATCTTTTAATTGGTATATTTAGACCATTTCCATTTAAGGTAAGTATTGATATGTCAGAGCTTAAGTCTGCCATTTAATTGTTTTCTATTTCGTTTCTTCTGTTTTTCTTTTCTTACGTTTTTGTGGGTCATTTGAACATTTTTTGGATTCCATCTTGACTAGTTTATTGTGTTTTCAAATCTATCTCTATGTAGTTTTCTTAGTGGTTGCACTAAGTATTAAAATACACATACATAATTAATCATCATCTACTGGTATTGATCTTTCTTCAAGTGAAGGAGAGAAACTTTACTCTCATTTAATTCCCTTTATCCTCCCCACTTTTAAAATATATTGTTGTGTTTTCTCTACATACATTGAATTCCACATGAGATGGTGTTATAATTTTTGTTTCAACCATCAAATATTCTTAAACCATCAACTATGATTTAAATTAATGAATAGGATAGACTGTTATTATTTATCTGTCTCTTTACTCATTCTGATGGTGTTTTTTCTGAAGTTTCAGCTTCTATTATCATTTCTTTTATGTTTAGAGACAACATAGCCATTCCTATAGCCTACCCCATTCTTTAAGGGTAGGCTATAGGAATTTGCTAGCAACAAATTCTTATACTTTTCCTTTGTCTAAGACTGTCTTTATTTCCCTTTATTCCCGAAGAATATTTTTGCTAAAAACAGGATTCATGTTTCTGTTCTTTTCTTTCAGTAACTGAATAATGTGCCACTTCCTTCTGGCCCCCATGGTTTCAGATTAAAAATCTGCTGTCATTTAAATTAGCGTTCCCACATAAGTCATGTTTCTCTCTGCCTGCTTTCAAGATTTTTCTTTGTCTTTAGTTTTCAGAAGTTTAGTTATATGTCTTTCTTAGCATGGATTTCTTTGGGTTTTTACCTAAAAAGCACAATATCCATTAAGTTTTTATTTTGATTACTGTATTTTCTAGTTCTATAACTTCCACTCTTTACTATAACTTATTTCTTACTGAGATTTTTTAGGTTTTCATTTGTTTCAAGAGAGTTCAATTTCATTGAAGCATTTTTGTGATGGTTGCTTTAAAATCTTTCTCAAATAATTCCAATATCTGAATCATTGCAATACTATCATTTGTTGGTCTTTTCTCTTTCATGTTGTGATTTTCCTGGTTCTTGGTATGATGAGTATTTTCTACTGTAGCCTAGATATTTTGGATATTATGAGATTCCGAGTTCTATTTAATCTTCCTATTTTTAGCAGTCAGTCCCCCTGGTGAGGTGTTACGAAAGAGCCAAGGAGGCGTGTATATTCACCTTTGCACTGGGCTCTGCCAACAGCACCCCAGCAAAAGTGGGCACTGACTCATACTGCCTCAATGTAGATAAGAGGTATAGAAAATCAGTCCCTCCTTTAGCCCCACTGAAACCTTCCCATAAAAGTGGAGCAACAATACATACTGTTTTTTTTGCCTCTAAGTGGTGTATAAGACCAGCTCCTTGCCAGGCACTCCTGACTCCAAGAAAGGAGAAAGCAAAGGGCTGACACACACTACTTTGTTGCTGCAGGGTGGAGGCTGAATCCCAGTTCTCTGTTGTGTCCCTCTGGCACCAGCTGAGGGGAGGGGAGAAAATGGAATACCAACTAGCCCCATGGATGAAGACTTAGCTCCCCATGACAGGAGTAGGGGTGAAGCCTAGTATTGACTAGTTCTGCTTCATACTGGCTTGTTAAGTCACACTGATGCTACGTAGACGTACAGGCTCATCTCCCAGTTGAAGCACACCGACATATCCTAGCAGAGCAACTGGAGTACTATCTCCTTCTGCCTGGTAGGAATCAGAGGCCAGCTGCTTGCTTAGTATTTCTGACACTACCACAGAAGGGGAACAGGATTGTTGTCACCTACTTATGTCAGATGGAAGAACGAGCATACACTGCCTACTTCTGGGGGTGGTGTGGAGGCCATTGGTGTTTGGCTGGAGTAGGATGGGAATTGTCAAAAAGGTTTTCTGTTGTTATATTTTCCTTTTCCTAATCTTTTGGCTAGAGGGAACAGTCTTTTCTTGGAGTTTGTTTTCCTTGTGCTTATTGGTATTTCCAGGTTGAAGATTTCTGAAGTGTTCTGTCTGGGATATATGGGAGGCAATAAGGAAACTTACTGCCATTTCATTCCTCAAGTCCCAATGTCTTTAGACAATATGTTTTCTTATTCCATTTTCTAGAGTATTCCTATGCTTATTTATTGTGTTATATCCAGGATGTTTAAGTTGTAAGAGGAAAGCATTGTGAAGAATGGGGCTATTACATCTTGGTGGACCTGAAAGTCCCTCTGTTATATGTAATTTTAATGTTTACATGTTAATAGATATTCTTCATTAGCTCATAACGAGTATCTCACACAGTATCTTCTACATATGTCTTGCATAATTTTTCTAACATAGTGAGCACATGCTTGGTGAATGCTCAACACTGAATGCTTATTGTGTGAAGGCATACACATACCCTAAAATGGTTTGTTTTAGCCTCAAGCATACAAGGGTACATGAGCCAGCTGTCAGAGCTGAGGAGGGACATCCACAGATGGTAAAGGAGAGAGGCAGCTCATCTGCACTGATGGTATTGCTTTTCTAACCTCTGATATTATCTGACATACTTCTGGATGGTCACTTTCCAGGCTAAGAGACAGTTAATCCTAAAGTATGGCTTCTTAACTGTAGCCAGCTTAGTTTTCCCAAGCTTTCTTAGGTCCTCACTGCCTTCTGAACTTTGAAGGATTTGTCTAACTCCAGTAGGGACAAGTCTGAAAGTGTTTGTGACTGAAATTATGTTGCCAGAACTACAGCATCCAGTTCTTCCTAATAAGCCCCTTCACACTGGAGATATAGTATAGGAGAGTAAATTTAAGGCCTAAATCTCCAACAAATATTTCTGCAATTTTACAAGAAATATCTTAGATGCCTTTCTCTAAGATATTCCTAGCACTTGTCTGTTCTCCTTACTAGCATTCTGGAACTGCAAGAGATTTTAAATTAGACTTTATGGATGGCGGGTATTACTGTTTATCATTGTAACATAACATGTTACACTATGCTACCATTTCAACTAACACAGTTTGGAGGCAGTGATTAGCACAAAAAGAATAAAGCAGGTCACTTATTTTTCCCTGTTAAGTCAGAATTTTTGGTTTTAGGCATTTAATATTTAAGGTTGTAGGACAAAAGAGACTGGTGGCAGAGGAGGAGGGGAGAGTCTCCATGAATTTTATTTGTTTTATATCTCTCAGGCTTAGAACACAAATATTCTGAGATACCAACATAAAAAAGCACTCAATTGATTCCATGAGTGTCTTTGAGGAATGTACTCATCATATGCTATAAAGAAACAGCCAATCATTGGTCACAGTTTTACAAATTAGAGCCATGACCTGAAGGTTAATTATCTTTCTTATGTAATTCTATTATCTTCACACTTGCTCCATGAATACATGAAAAGCTTAATATATAGTGTGAGCAACTGCTTACTTCTCAATCTGGTTGGCAAGGCAAAAAAATAGGTTGGTTTTTAAGTAAGCACAGCCCTGTGGTTCAAGTTCCTAATGTGCAGTCACACTGCCACCTAGTGGCTACAGAGATTAACTATTAAAGATGCTGTTTATTATGGAACAAGCACAGAATTTCCCTTTTATTAAA